TACAGGCATGAGCCACCATGCCCAGCCCCATTTTTTTTCCTCTTAATTTTCTTTTCCTTCATTTCCTTTACTTTATTTATTTATTTATTTATTTATTTATTTATTTATTTATTTATTTTTGAGACAAGGTCTCACACTGCTGTCCAGGCTGGAGTGTAGTGGCACAATCTCAGCTCACTGCAATCTCCACCTCCTGTGCTCAAGTGATGCTCCCACCTCAGCCTCCAGAATAGATGGGACTACAGGTGCACACCACCATACCTGGCTAATTTTTGTATTTTTTGTAGAGACGGGATTTCACCATGTTGCCCAGGCTGGTCTCAAACTCTTGAACTCAAGTGATCTACCAGCCTCTGCCTCCCAAAGTGTCGGGATAACAGACATAAGCCACTGTGCCCAGCCCAAGTTTTTTAATATATTAATTTGCCAAGCTCTACAAACAAGAACTGCTTTGTGTACATACAGTAGTCAAAACTTGCCGGCCCCTTTTCCAAGTTTACTTGTTTTTTTATACACTTAAACTGGCCTGCCAAGGGGCATTATTGTTCTTTTTCTGTATATTTCCTGTACGTTTCCCTCTCTGTTGACTCTTTGCTTTCAGAATTTAAACAGGTTCCAGTAGTCCTGTCTTACAACCATTGCCATTTACTACACACATTCTCTACCACCCCCATCTCTCTTCTTCAAACTAAGCTCTCCTCATAAATGATTGCTATGAGAGACCATAGGGGTATTTCCCCATTTCCTACTGACTCCTCTATCCCTCCCAACCAGCCCCGCAGACTGTGCCCCCGGTGGCCTCCTTTCCTTCTAGCAATTTTCCTATGCTATTCTTTTATTTACAAAACTGGAACTGTATTTTATGCACAGATATTTTATAGCTTGATTTTTTTTCTACCTTAATATTAGGGACTTTCTTTTTCTAAGTCATTAATTTTTAAAAACTTTTTATTGATGAATAGCATACATGCAGAAACATGCACAGATGATAAGTTTGATAACTTTTCACAAAATGTCATTAGTGTCCAAATCAAGGAAAAGAAATTGCAGAATCCTAGAATCTCCTCCCAGCCCACTCCTTTCAGTCACTTCATCCAACTTCCAAAGCAATCCTGACTTCTAACAGCACAATTTGTTTTACATATATGAAATTTATGTAAATAGAATCATATAGTATGTACATTTTCTGTATCTCACTTCTTTCACTAAAGATTATGATGTTTGTGAGATTCATCCATATTGTTCCATGCACTTGTAGTTTGTTATTCTCATTGTTATATGATATTCTCTTGTGTTTTTGCATTAACATGTTTTAAAACATAATGTTAATTGCTATGTAATATTCCATTATAGGGATATACCACAATTAACTTATTAATTACCTATCATTTCTGCCAGGTTTTCACTGTTAGAAATAACCCTATGGTAAACATCTTTGTGTAAATACTTGAAGAAATTTCTGACCATTCCTTAGAATAAATCCTAGAAGTGGATTTACCAGCTAAAAGCTTATACATTCTTCAAAAGTTCTTGATACATATTGCCAAATTGCCTTCTAGAAAGCTTACACCTGTTTACTTTCCTGCTGGCACAGTACCTGACACATAAACATTCAATAACATTTTGTTGACATGAACTGGATGAACTAAATTCTTTTATATCTTAGAATCCTAGAAGCTGAGTTTTCTGTGTCCTCGATCTGCCTTCTTTCCAGTTCATTGTTGTTTTAATTAATTTATACTAAAAACAATTTAATGGTATGTAGGGCACAGCTTCCCCTCTCCACCTTATTCTTTCCCCAAAATTATCTGGTTATTCTTTCTTTTTTTTTCTAGTAGAAATTTAAAATATACTGCTGCATTCTGGAAAAATCACTGGAGAACTTATGAAATTGCATTGCTGGCATTTTCTTTACATTAATGTGGGGGAAAAGTGACATATTTATATGTTTATAATCGTATCCAGAAATGATTCTCCATTTATTTAATTATTTTTTATGAAATGCATTTCAGTAAAGTTTTATAGGTTTATTCTTGCAGTAAAGTTTTATAGCTTTATTCTTAAAATTAAAAAATTTTATTTCTGAATATTTTATATTTTGTGACTACTGGGAATGAGATATTTTCTTCCCATTGTAACTTAAGTTATAGGAAAGCTACTGTATCTTCTATATTAATTTTGTATTCATCCTTTTTACCAAGTTCTTACTAATGTTAACAGTTTTTCCCCCATAATACTTTCGGGTCTGTGAACTTTTAGTTTATAATTTCAAAGAGGGAGAAATTAATATATAGAATAAAGAAATAGAAAAATGGTAACCTTGAAAAATATTAAAAATAGAAATGTGGAATTCTGATCTATTCTTTTAATGCATTGAAGTACTCATTTTTATCAATTCTCAACTATTTTCTCTAGCCTTGTTTTTTGAATGAAGCAGCAAGTCATAAAGTTAAACATAAAACTAATGAAGTTGTAGAATGTGAAAATAATCTGTCATTACATTAGGAAAAGTAGTTATGAAAACCACGTTATTTACCCTTTATACTACTTTACACTTTTTCCATTCTCTCATTTTTAAAAACTTCTCTTTTTATTATCTGTTCTCTATTTCGCTTCTCTATTTTTTTAAAGAATACAATAGCTTGGGAATAATTTTTAAAATACTAATGGAAAATAAACTTTAGGATAAATAAGGGAAAAAATAAAAATCTTTCAGCTTTCCTCTCGGATTTTTTTCTCACGTATTCTCATATGCTTTTCTGTTCTTTTGGATCACTCTAGTGATTCTCTTCCTTCTTATAGCATTTATTCATCTGAATGCCTTCATATATGTGTGCATGTGAGATACCAGTGTTTGTGTCAGGGGTTGTCTTATCTCGTCTTTTTCCTCAGAGATAAGAAAATGTGTCCAAGTCGTGTATCTACATGCTATTGCATAGATAATAAAAATAATTTTTTTCTCAGTTTACTTTCAATTTTTAAAATTTGTTTTATTTTCTTTTTTATTCATTTTAAATTGTAGTTTTTTTGGTTTAATCTTAATGATAGTTTTAAGTACCTAGAAACTTGAACCACAAATGTAATCAGAAAATAATACTTTAATCCTTGTTAATCCATGTTGTTGACCTTCTGTGCCTGCAAGCTGCAACAGTAGCAGAATGTCTTGTGTATAACTTTTCTCTTTTTTTTTTTTTTTTTTGAGAAGGAGTCTCTTTCTGTCATCCAGCCTGGAGTGCAGTGGCGTGATCTTGACTCACTGCACCCTCTGCCTCCTGAGCGATTCTCCAGCCTCAGCCGCCCAAGTAGCTGGTACTGCAGTGCGCACCACCACACCCAGCTAATTTTTTTGTGTTTTTTATAGAGACAGGGTTTCGCCATGTTGGCTAGGCTGGTCTTGAACTCCTGACCTCAGGTAATCTGCCTCCCTCAGCCTCCCAAAGCACAGGGATTACAGGCGTGAGCCACCGCGCCCAACCTAGTGTATAATCTGTTATGTGGACCTGCATACTTACTGGCAAAGTCTGATGTAGAGATTAACTGTCCTCTTTTGAGATGGTGGATTTGCTGATTTTTAGGAAGAGACTATCTAGGGTCTCTTTTAATCCTTGTAAGAGACAGGCTGGTTGCACCCATCTTGTCTAATTTTGTAAAATGAAACTAGGTCAGATCCATTACAGATAGTTGTAACTTGCTCAAAATAGTCTGTAAGCCAGGGCTGTTGGTTATTAAAATACGTTTTTTTCTCTTATCAAAATCAAAGGAATTAATTATCTCTCATGACTGTAGAATTGGAATATGACAACTTGAGAATCCTATCTTTTGTAGAAGTTATTTATTTTTCTTCAAAAAAAGAGAAATTCAGATGCTGCAGGGGTTGTGTCTTTGGGTGTTTGTTGAGCTACGAGGCTGGGAAGTGAGAATCAGAATGTACAATCAGGACACTGTATTCAGATTTCACTTATAAAATAGGTTTGGAAACAAGGATGAAGGGCAGTAGCCAAAATAATCTCAAAGGCTGCTTCCAGGTCTTAACTACCAAGATTTGTAGCTTAAAAACTAACTATTGGGAATTATAGAGGTAAACTGATGTGCTTTCATTAGAGAGGTGTAAAACTGGTTCCAAGTCCTTAAAAGAAAATAGAAACACAGCACCAAAGCCAGAAACAATTACACCAGCAGAATACTTAAAAACTAACAACAAAAAACTGTTTTCACAGGCACCCTGTTACACGCGGTAATTCAGTTTGCTTTGTACAATGTTATAAAATGATCAGTATACTATACTTCTGGTTAAGCAAAATAAGACCAAAAATTGACACGGTATGCTCTCTACTCTAATTCAGTACTTTCACCAAAAGGAGGTGAAATTAAAGATGAAGAAGAAATTTAAAAATTAAGGAAGAAATTAAAGATGATAAATGGATCCAGTTTGTCTATGGCAAACTGATAGTATGCCATTCTGAAGGTGGATATTGCTTATGAAGAAAATTTAGAGTGAATTGTTTCCTTTTATAATTGTATTAGAAGAAGTGTGGATCTTGACTCTAGACAGACTTTAGTTTAAATATGGCTCTGCTATTTAGGAGTTTTGTGATGCTGGGAACTTTTTAAACTCTCTTTTGTTATTTTCTTCACCTGTTAAATCAGCAAAATCATTGCTATTTAATAAAGTTATTGGAAAGAGCTTATTATAAGGAGTTTGTCCCCTTTCATGAAATTTTCAAGGAAATTGTGATTTCTTTGGCTTAACATTTTCTACTTAAAATCTTTTTTTTTTTTTTTTTTTTGAGGCGGAGTCTCGCTCTGTCGCCCAGGCTGGAGTGCAATGGCGCGATCTCTGGTCACTGCAAGCTCCGCCTCCCAGGTTCACGCCATTCTCCTGCCTCAGCCTCCCAAGTAGCTGGGATTACAGGCACCCGCCACCACGCCCAGCTAATTTTCTCTATTTTTAGTAGAGACGGGGTTTGACTGCTTTAGCCAGGATGATCTCAATCTCCAGACTTCGTGATCCGCCTGCGTTGGCCTCCCAAAGTGTTGGGATTACAGGCGTGAGCCACCGCGCCCAGCCTACTTAAAATCTTTTGAGGAAAAGTGCTATATCAGAAAATAAACATGAGCAACCCAGTTACGTATTACCATATAATCTGAATATGTTTTACATTAGTTTATGCCCCTCCTTCTTAGAAAGGTTCCCTAATTGTCTGAACTGTGTTGGAGTTTTCGTGGCATGTGCAGTGTTTGTGGAGAACTTTTCCTGTATGGTCATTTCCAAGTGTCTGAAGAATCTGATATCAGTCCTTCAGATTTTAGAAGGTAAAGAGAAAAAAACACCCATAAATCAAGTAGGCATAGAATTTAATATAAGAAGTGAATCGGGATATGGTAAAAAGTTGTGATAGAATGAAAACTTTCTGAACAATGATTTGGGGAAAATGCAATAAGACTTTTAAGATGTCAATCATTCATTTACCCATTAAATTGAATATTTCTTGAATATTGATTGTATGTTCAGTGGGAAGAGGTGAGATGGAATGGGGAAGAATGTTCGAGACAGAGAACAGCACACCTGAAAGGAAGCAGATTTGAGGATCTGAAAGTTGTTTTATGATTGGAGGGTAGAGTTGGAACAGAAGGGATGAAAAGGGATGAGTTAGTCAGGGTACAGATTGTCCTGGACTTATAAGCCATGTGAAGGAATTTGACGTTTATCCTAAGCACAATAAGGGCCATAAAATAATTGTGGGATGGGCAAAGGCCAGGTCTGTGTTAAGAAAGAGTAAAGAATGGATTGAAGGAAAGAGAACAAGTAGAGGAGGGCAGATTGATTGTGTGGCCACTTATGGGAATCACAGAAATCATGGTAGCCTAAACTCGAGTAGAGTCAGTGGCTTTAGAAAGCTGAACATGAAGGCCAGGAAACAAAAGAGCCAGCTAGCTGAATGACATGATGTGGGGAGTGAGGGAGGAAGAGGAAGCAGGGCAATTGGTGATACTTTTTCTTCCTTGACACAAAGAGTACCTAGGAGGAGAAGGTGAAAGGGGTAAAGGATTAGTTCCATTTTAGTTGGTGGGATAAAGGAACTTGTGAGATATACCTATCAATGTATTTATCGCTATACCTATCTATATATCATATCCATGTATCCTTATCATCCTAACTATTCCTCTCATTTATTTTTTATTTCAAAATAATTTCAAACTTAAAGGTCACAAAAACAGTATGAAGTGCTTTTTGTTTTTTTGGAATCTTTTGAGAGTAAATTGACAATATGATGTCTCATTACTTCCCAATACTTGAATGTGCATTTCCTAAAAGCAAGGACATCTCCTACATTTATGTTTTGTCCCAGTGATGTCCTTTACAGCAAAAGGATCCAGTCTAGAATCATATGTTGCATTTACTTGTGATGTCTTTTTAATCTCCCTCCATCTTGAATGGTTCCTCAGTGTTTCCTTGACCTTCAATATCTAGACATTTTTGAAAATTACAAGCTAATTATTTTGTAAAACATCCCTCAATTTGAGTTTGTATGACATGTTTTGCAATTAGATTCAGGTTATGATTCAGGAATTTTTGCTAGGAATATCACAATAATTATGTGTTTTTTTCATTGCAATCTATCAGATGGTGTACAACTCCTGTTTGTTGCATTACTGAAAATGTCAACCATCATCAGTTATTAATTTTGCTGTGAGATGGGGAAGTAGATGCATAGTGTACAGATCAGCTGAGGCTATACAGAAGAGTAAACATTGAGTATTCCCTCCCCCTCTTCTGTAAGTCTTGTTCAGAGAAGTATTTTTTTACATAATAACTGTAATCTTTATTGTTATTATAATTTACATTATTACCAACTAAATTTATTATCAGTTTAGTGGAGAAGAGAAATACTTTGCTCTTGCCTTAGATTGAAAGGTATTCCCTGTTGCCACCACGCTGTGGTTTCCAGATGCTTTGCTCTCACTGGGATTGATGTGCTTTCTCACAGGGTGAAGAGAGAACGTTGACAGCCATAGGAGGAGGAAGGTTTGCCTCATTTTAAGTCCGGATGTGGTTAAAGCTTAGGAGTGGGAGAAGAGAAGGGATTTCACTGAGACAAGTTGATTTGAGTGAAGCCGCTACTCTTAGACAACTTTGCATAAAACAGCTGGTTAGTTAATATGTTTCTCTTTTTTTCCATGCTAGTCCTCCAAGCCTTAAAACAAGTTATTAGAGATTAGAATTTTTAAAATATGTTTTCCAATCAGGCACGTGTCCAGTTGAATTCTAATTTCACTAAACCTGCCCCCTAGAATACTGCTGAACTTATTTGAAAACACTGAGTCATGATGATATAAATATATGATGGAGATTTAATGAAGTAAGTCTAATTTCAAGAATATCTAATTTATGAAACCAAGCAGTACTGTGGAATTTGGTGGTAATTAGAAATACAGGTTTAACATATATAAACCACATATGATTTTCATAATTTTAAAAGAGTAAATGTTTTTACTCTTTAACCAGTCTTGATATTAGTGATTCCTTCTTTACAAACTGAAATGACTCCAGATTTTTTAAAACAGTACTGTTATTTTAGAGAAATTTAAAAAATATTGCAAATGTGTTGCCATGTATTTCTAATATAGTACTGCTTTGGAAAAATAGGTGTTTTAAATTAATCAAATATATATTAGTAAACTTTAAAATACAGCATCGAATACAGTATGATAAATAAAATTACTTTATCAGAATTCCTTTGGAGTCTCAGCCAACTTTTATATTTCATGTAATTTACCTCAAACTCCATTGTAACTATGCAGAACCCAGTAAAATCTCTTCTCTTTCTCCTTTCTCCCATATTCTCTTCTCCACAGAATACCAGAGACCTGTCAGTTTTCCTAATGCAGCTTCAAAGTCACCATTGACTCCTTGCCCTGTTCCTTCTACCCTTGCAAACTTCTGGGAAGTATTTGCAAGTATCTTATAGCTGAGCTACCCTGTCCTTATTGTAGAAATCCGTTCCAAACTTCACATTAGAATTGTGGTTGTAAATCTCTCCTTAAGCCTTTTGCTCAGCTTCTGCCTTTCACCCACGTCAAAGTGCTATTAATAAACTTATTTCCTATTACCAAAGTGTATCCTCCTAAATTTACTTCACGTAACCCATAGTTTCATCAGAAACTTAAATTTTTCTGAGACCATTGCCACCCTCCTCTTGACCATCCCGTGTTTGCCATAATGCACCAGTCAGGAAACAGCCATTTAGTCAGAGCCTACTTGGTGCCAGTCACTTTACCAGATGCTGAGAATACTGTGGCAAATAAACACATTATTGTCCTTGTGGAACTGATAGTCTAGTGGGAACAACAACTTTTAAATAAGGGAGTGCATGTAATTAAGTGATTGCATATGTGTGAAGTGCTTTGGAGAAGAAGGAGAACATATAACTTGTAAAGCAGACATGGGTTTTATTGGGGGTAGTTTTGAGGTAGTTGTGTTGAAGCTGAGGCATGAAGACTGAATATGTATTGTTAGCTGGTTGAAATCTAGGTTGGGGAATATTTTAGGCTGAGAGTGGTCCCTTCTCTTTCTATCATCACATTTCACTCTGTTATCAAGCAGATTCTCATACTATTTATTCTCATACTATTTAGCCATGCCACTTGCTCACTCTCACCCAGTGCTGCTTCATTCTTAATGAGCTCTTGCTTTTATACCTTTCCATATTTGTGATTTTATATTATCAGCTTATTTTGGAATTCCTGAGGTCAGAGTTTTCAAGCTGTTAGATTAGGATCTACCAGTAGCGGGCTCTCAATGTCTGATTGTCCACTGCCTCCTACCTGGTGACTCTCCTTTTCCTTCTCTCAACTCCTCAGATTTTCTGTGCTTTCTACAGGAAGCAAAGCCAGCAGTCAGTAAAGGGGTTGGGGAGTTGGTGGGAGTGGGGACTTAAAATATTTGTCGATATCAAACCTCTCCCCACCAAACACTTGAATTTCATTTTCAGCAACCTCCTCTTCCCATTCTAGTGACATCAAGACTTAAGAAGATTGAAAAATGTCCCATCTTCAGAGGAAATCTAGGTATTTTGCTCTAGATCATTAAAGGATATAATATTAGCCCTGAAATTCTCCATAATCTGTAATTGTGCTTCATCTGTCACCTAATACTTTATATTTTAAATTTCTTCATTTACTTAAAAATTTCTATTTTTGTAACCAGCAGTTACAGTTTTTTTAGAGTAGAGCATATTGATATGCAGTATCACTAACACTGTCAGTACTAGTGATATACATACAAGCAAACTTGCAGATATACATCAACAGAAACAACATTATTGCAGTAGTACAAAGTGGTCAAAGTGTGTTCCTCTGATACTGGTTATTATTTTTTTGCTGCAAGGCATAGTAGCTGGGCAGGTGGTTAAACTATTCTTGTAACCAGGTGGTGAGGCCTTTTATTGAGCCATAACCAATTCATAGCAGAGAGAAAAAAAAACACATTTCCCTCACATGACTTTTCTTTTCCCTTTAAATACTTATTTATTAAAATCACAATGTGAATATGGAATAGAGACTTATAACATCTGTATGAAAACAATTGTTAGAACAAAACTAAAACAAATTGAAAAAGTACCAATTTATTGTTTTAAATAGAGAAAAACATCTTATTTCTTAATTTTTTATTTACTTGTAATAAAATCAATGTAATATTTGCCATCTTAAACTATTTTTGAGTATATAGTTTATTTGTGGTAAGTTCATTCATATTGTTGTACAACAGATCTCTAGAACTAAAACTGAAACTCTGTACTCATTGAACAAAATGCCCCTTCTCCCCTCCCCACAGACTCTGGAAACCACCATTCTGTTTTCTGTCTCTATGAATCTGACTCTTTTAGGTATCTCATATGAGTAGAATCATACAGTATTTGTCTTGTGACTGGCTTATTTTACTTAACAATGTCTTCAAGCTTCATCCATGTCGTAGCATGTATCAATTTCCCTTTAAAGCTAAATAATATTCCATTATATGTTTATACTACATTTTTTAATTCATCATCTGTCAGTGAAGACTAGGGTTGCTTCCACCATTGGCTGTTGTGCAGGGTGCTACTGTGAACATGGGTGTATGTTCAATTATCTCTTTGAGACTCTGCTTTCAATTCCTTTGGGAACATTTACTTAGTGAGCCCCAATCTTCACACGGAGTTATTTATTCTTCACATATTTGAACAATGTGGGGGGAATCGATAAAGGGAAAGAGGAGACAGTGACTGTAAAAAGTAGGCAGATAATAGTCTGTCCCCTGTTTAAGGCTCTGTCTGCTTCAGTGTTTCTCAAAGTGTTGTCCATGTCCCACTCGCATTAGAATATCTGGGAAATTTTGATTCTTAGGCCTTTCATCAGACTTTTCAAGTCAGACTCTCTTGTGATACTCAGGAATTTGCACCCCAGGGGATTCTTATGTACACCGAAATGTGAGATGCACTGCCCTGCTGGCAACTAGACATCCCAGGATTTATCTGCGTTTATGCAGATGAAAACCCTGTTCCCTGCTACTAATAGCGCCTTGCTTTTGGGGGGCACATCCATCCCATGCCAGCCTATGATTTTCACTTTATTCTGTCTGCATATTGTAGCCCAACTAAAAGTCTCATCAATATAGTAAAGGAGGGGCAGCCCTGAGTTTGCAGCCCTAAACTTGGATTCAGGCCCATTCAGGCCCTTCTTCTCAGACTCCTAATGGTGGTTCACTATTGCTGTGTGTCTGCTTCTAATCAGTGGGCCAGTGAACAGGTTAGAACTTCCCCGCTCTGGCCTTGTAGTGTTTAGGCTTACCTGAGTTCTTAAAGGGACCAAATCTCTTTCCTGATATGAACATATTAAGTATAGCATAGCAAATTGTGATCCTGATTAGGGCAGTAATTTCTCACGTTCATCTTGTATAGCGGAATGACATATGTGATAGCTTTAATAAAACCAACCAGCTTCTGCATTTTGAAACTGAACTCTGTCTTCATCTAGTTATCACGTTGTGCTATCTCTAACATGTGTTCTTTGCTTCTGATTATTACATGATCTGTGATTTGCAAGTGACTTTTTTCCTTTTTTTCTTTTTTTGATACAGAATCTCGCTTGCTCTGCTGTCCAGGCTGGAGTGCAGTGGCACGATCTCGGCTCACTGCAACCTCCGCCTCCTGGGCTCAAACGATCCTCCTGCCTCAGCCCCCAAGTAGCTGAGACCACAGGCCCACACCACCATGCGTGGCTAATTTTTGTATTTTTTGTAGACATAGGGTTTTCCCATGTTGGCCAGGTTGGTCTCGAACTCCCCACCTCAGGTGATCTACCCGCCTCAGCCTCCCAAAGTGCTGGGATTACAGGCGAGAGTCACCGTGCCCAGCTAGAGCATATTTCTATTTACATATTTAGGCTTTAAGCTATACACACTAAAAATTCTTTTTTATGGCAGTCCTGTTTGTTCTCAGCAGAGCCTGTAGAGCCTGTTGTCAGTGGAATGCTGAGAACACCCCTTTGTAGAGTTTTCTTTTGGCAGTATTTTGGGATTCAGACTGAGGAATGGTTGACCCAACTTACGCTTCGAGCAGTATATAAATTTACTCTGACATGGGAAATATATTAACAGCAGCAACAACAAAAAACCTTTCAAGATACAGATTTGTACAGCATAATACAATATTGTACAAATGTACATATACAAAATTAATTTGGCCTTTTCAGTTTCTAGTCTTCCAGCCTAAAAGTAAGAATTGTTTTTAACAAAGCATTAAACGGCTAAATTGATGTTTTGGTGTTCCTTCAAGATCTTCCAGAAAAATTATTACCCCATAGCTACAAAGTAACAAGACTCAGAACTAAGGACATCAGTGAAGCCCAAGACAAGTTAATTAAGAGCAGGAGGGTAAGACTGACCCGTGGTTATGACCTCATTTAGATTTGTTGGTGTTCTTACTTTCCAGATTAAGCATACTTAACTATTCAGTGTGACCCAATGCTTTTAAAGTAGTAAGCATGTTTTTGAGCTGTATGATTTGAACAGCAATCACATTTAAAATCTAACGTGGTACCTAGAAGTTGTATAGAAATATGTATGAAAATTCACACTAATATCTTTTAACGTAGACTACCTGTTCTGGTGAACCCTTAGTTTGAAACTTTCTTTGTATTTTACAATCATTTATCGTTCTTTTTATTAGCTCTTAGTAGTGTATGCAGCATTTTCTTACTGTCCTTCTCCCACCTACAGTCAAATCAACAGATGTTTATTGAGCATTCACTTTGCATGTGCCAGTTCTTTCCTTTGCCAATTTTGGGTGTTAATAATTTTGGTATGCTAATTTATTACATGCTCTGTGCCATTTTAATTTGCTTTTCTTTAATTCACAGTCAGCTTGAACCCTTTCCTATATTTGTTTGCTAACTGCATTCCTTCCTCTATGGCTTAGCTGTTCCTATTCTTGGCTCATTTTCCTTTGAGGTTATAACAGTTGTCAACAGAATCCTGACCAGGCTCCTGGGCAAGCCATGTCTTAACCAATTAGTACTTTTGTTTTCTCTCCATTCCTTTTTTCTTCATTATGGTGGAAAACAGACAGGGATTAAATGGACAGAATTAGAAAAAGTAGAAGGGGAAACTAAACTGAATTGGAAGAGATTTAAATGTAGTGTGTTTAAAATGGAATTGGATAACTTAACTCAAGCTTTGATAAATAATGGGAAGCACCATGATATTATGGAATAATTTGTCACTGTCAACAGACTTGGGTTTTAGTACCAGGTCTGCCTCTGTTAAATGAATGCAATAAAGCCTACCTCACAACACTGCCAGAGCATTTAATAAGATTACATGTAAGGGCCTAGTCCTCTCATCCTCTCTCTCTTAGTTTGTTTGGGCTGCTATAACAAAATACCATAAACTGTGTGTCTTATAAACAACAGAAATTTATTTCTTGCAGTTCTGAAAGCTGAGAAGTCCAAGATCAAGATGCTGGCAGGTTTGGAGTCTGATGAGGGCCCGCTTTTTGGTTTGTAGAAGGCATCTTCTTGCTGCATTTTCACAAGGCAGAAGGGGACAACTCAGCTCTCTTCAGCCCCTTATAAGGGCACTAATCATGCTCATGAGGGCTCCACCCTCATGACCTCCCAAAGGCCCCACCTCTTACTACCAACACATTGGGGATTAGGTTTCAGCATATGAATTTTGTGAGGGTCGGGGAGGACACACACATTCAGTCCATAGATTCTCCGATGCTAAACGAGCATATCATTAATTGCTACATGCAAAGACAGAATAGCAGCCGAAACCAAGACCTTACCCCGGCTCCCATCCTTCTCTGCAATTAGTGTCTAATATGTTTTCCCATTTAATCTTTATAACAGCCTTAGTATGTACCATTATTCCCATTTTTCAGATGAGGAAATTGAGGCACTGAGAAGTAACTTGTACAAGGCCATAGATTTGGTAAAGGATTTGGGTAGAGTTCTGTCAGATTTCAAAGCCATTCTTTTTCCACAGTGCCAGGCTGCCTAGAATAATGAGTATGACTGAAGAATGAAAAGGAGTTAATGGTGTGGCCATTCCCCTGTTCTTTCCACTGCTTCACTTGGTGAATGACTAATAGGCAAACACTCCCAGAGGGTATTTGCATTTTAAAAGCGAGCTCATTAACCCTAATGAATCTCTAATTGGTGGAGTTTGTGGGGGAGATATTTTTAAGTACTGGGGCTTTCTCCTGTGTCTTCAAGGTGCCTGGCTATCTTTTTCTTCTTTGTAGAGTATCAGCTATTCTGGAATCAGAATCGTGTAGCAGAATACAGTCACATACTGCTGGTCTGCCGCGAATGCATTAACAGGGAGTCATGAATTAAAAGGGAGCCATGAAAAAACATTGAAAGGAAAAAAGTGTGGGTTAACATTGTCTAAAATGAACGTCCAAAAGCAAATAAATTTGGCCATATAGAGGGTCTTCCGAAGAGTCAGATGAAAGAATATATTTTATAACCAAATTTAACTTTAGAAATGTTGTATCAGCATTTCCCATGGTGCGTTAATGAAGCTC